ATGTATTTTTCCTGCTGATATCTTGAGAACAAAGGATTATATGATCACTTATCTTAAATGGCGTGTTCTAGTTCCATGAGACTTTGAAGAGCTATAATTGTTGTTTAGATCCTGAAGTCATACTTGCGGCCATAGTTAATAGACTTATCCAAGTAAGAGACTGGTGAATAAGGTGTCTAAGTCCATAAATATATTTGGAATGTACTTGACCCGGATTAGCATGGTCCATTTCGGTTGCATGGCATCAGAACTATTGGATAGACAAAATGAGAAAAGGATACTTGTGATTTCTTAATATATTTTAAGTTCTAATAGATTAATATGAAATCATATTATTTAATTAGTATTGATCAAGAATTAATTTGGAATTAATTTTGTGATCAAAAGAGACTAATTAAATATATGGGGATTGATTGTGTAAATCATTCATTCTTATATAGTGGGCTTATGATCCATGATTCATTAGATTGGGCTACAACCCATAAGGTGATCCATGGAGGTTAAAACCCATGGATTATGGAGGAAATGAAAAGTCATACACATTAGGGTTTGCGTCATGTAACCCTACATGTGACACTATATAAAGGACCTCATAGCAAGCAAAATCGGCCACTAGACATACAAGTGAGGGGTAGCCGAATTTTGAGTACAAGTGTTCTTCTCTCAAGTTATTCCAATAGTTGTGGTGTTGTGTGAGACATTTGAGGCATCACACTTAGGGTGCTAGGCTCAAAAGGTCTTAAGGAATCAAGCTACAAGAAAAGATATGTCATTCTACTAGTTTTGTATATTACACATGCCTTATGATATGCTAGTTAGGATGAAACCTTGAAAAAATCAAATTTGCATGTATAATAGTGAAAACATAGATCCAAGGTTTCTAGGGTTGCAAGCACACCATAAGAGTGTTAGGTTGCTCAAAACCCATTAACTTGTTCTAGTGTGTGTGTATATATATATATATATATATATATATATATATATATATATATATATATATAGAAAGAGAGAGAGAGCATTGTTTATAGTGAACTAAGTATAACAACCCATTAAAGATATACAACTATAAATACATTGGGATAAAAATACTCTAACCAGGAGTTATATATATATATATATATATATATATATATATATATATATATGCATCTATGTATACTTTTATAAGAATACTTATGTTTTAAAAGTATAACTCCTGGTTAGAGTATTTTTATCCCAATGTATTTATAGTCATGTTTATAGTAAAAGTTGGTGAATGTTTGTAAATGTTTGTATCTCCTTGAAAATCCTATATTTTTTTTACTAAAAGTAGCCTTACACCAAGGCCCGACTGTTTTGTAAGTTTGTTTCTCGCAAAAGTGTATAATTTTCCCAAGTGTAACTATCATTATCAAAATATAGTTTATACATTACCGTTTATGTGAGAAGGTCACAATGTGAATGCAATGGGAAAATAATATAGTATTGTAGTGTTGTATTATAGTGACTATTGTTGTACTAACTACCTTAAACTGGATTTTTATCAAGGTATAATGTGATTTGATTGTACCATACTATCGACTGAAAACACGACGATAAAAGATGTTGGAAGTAATGACATTTGGCACCCGAAGACTTGCAAGTCCCACTGTAACTAGCAGCAAAGGTGTAGGATAGTCAATCCAGTATATATCTATACACAAACTCATGCTCTCCCTCCAGGAGTCTCTGGATACAAATCGATCCATGGCAGTGATGACATGCCCCAAAATAGTGGTTCACATTTATGTTATAGTATACTTGTATATGTATTGTATGTACTAGTGTAGTGTATGTATTTTTTCTCGTTATAGTATTCTCTACCTGTTTCTCTTCATAGTATGTTTGTATAGTTTCTCATAATAGTATGTTCTCTTAGTTTATCATCATAGTATAGTTGTATAGTTTCTCATAATAGTGAGTTCTCTTAGTTTCTCATCATAGTATAGTTGTATAGTTTCTCATAATAGTAAGTATTAACTCATGAATAAACTGACTCTTTGGATGTTTCATTGAACTAGAAGTAATGAGTAGTATCTTCCTAAACTAGTCACATGATGATTATAGGCAGTTGTATCGGAGCTGCGCGTTGGAACCTATCATATCTTATCAATTCAGCATTCTTGAGAGGTTAGTCTCCTCACCATACCAATGGGTCGAAGGCACCAAGGCTGACCCCATTTATGATATGTGATGCACTAGTTGATGTAGTGATATGTGGCATGTTAGTTGGTCATATGGTAGGTGGTATGCTAGTTGTATATGTGGTATACTTGCATGAAAGACCATGGGGAGCCCATGCCGTTTGGATGTAAGACCATGTGGGGGACCCCAAAGCTTTACAGGTAAAGACCATGGGGGGATCACATGGCACTCGGATGTCATACCATGTGGGGGATCCTATGACTTTCCAACTAAAGACCATGGGGGAGGCCATGGCACTCAGATGTCATACCATGTGCGGGAGCCCAAGGCTTTCCAACTAAAGACCATGGGGGTGCTCATGGCACCTAGGTGTAAGACCATATGGAGGATCCCATAGCATCCTGGAATAAGACCTTAGGAGGAGCCCACGACATCCTTATATGTTGCTATGCATGGTTTGTGGTATATGTAGCCTTTATAGCTAATATGGATTATATAATTATGTGGATTGTATGAGGTATGCTCTGGGGAACAAAATATTCAATTGACGTATCTTGGCTTATCCGCTTGCTCATATTCAGGTTCTAACGGCTCCGTTTTCAGTTCCGGTCTGGTTCTAAATCACATCCCAATTGTAGTGACGATTGAATTGAGTATTAAAATAGAATCAGAGTATCAAACAATTTTAACACGTAATTTAATTATAATCGGTTTCGCACATTGTTGTTGCTTTGATAGTTAAATACACGAGGTAGAGAGAAAAACGTTTTCAATCAGAAAAATGTCCCAAACCTCTAATAGTATCCTTTCCATATTTATAGGGAAAACTGAAAGTACAAAAAGTATAAGGACTTTCGACACATAAGCTTCGAAACTTCAAATTAAGTCCTTAAAATAACATACACTCAAATATTCGACATTACAAACAATTTAGAAAACATCGACACATCACAACCTGCGAACCCCAACATCCTCCCCCTTTGTGATAAATGTCGAATCTAGGTTATGAATAATTGAGCAGCTTGATGTAACACACTCCTTATCTCAGTGTACCAGTCGACAATCTTTTGAATATCTACTTTCTCCTTGTCACTATTCTTTGCACAACTTTTCATTCAAATTAGCAAGTTTGTGTAGTGCGAAGAAGTGTACTTTTCAATATCGTTTATTTGAAACAGAAATTTCTTCACTATACCCTTCTTGTTCTTACCCACAGAAACAATCCCCAAGGGCTTTAAGCATATCTTCCCATCTTTGTAATCTTTCAACAAAGACTAATTTTTCATCATTGACTTGGGAACTATAACTTTCTTTCCCAATGTTGTAGCCAGATCAATATCAGTTAAGGAGAGGGCTTCAAAATAACCATCAATGAATACCCTCAAGTGTTCGAAACCAATCATGAAATCTTCCTTGTTTACTGGTTGAAGCTTTGAATAATCAACTGACTTTCGGATCTTTGCAACAATCAAAAGATCATACAGATTCATCAGTGGAAAGTCAGCAATGGAGAAGTCAAACACAACATTGTTTGCCCTTACTGCAAAGTATCGATAATTCTGTAACATACCCTTCAATAAAACATCCTTGGATACATTAAGAATTCAAACGAGTTTAACATATGACCAGAATGCATCTTCATTCTTTCCCAACATAGAATGGAATCGATACTTTATGCACCTAAACTTGTCCTTATCCTTGGATTTGTTTGCCAGTTCAAATTGCTCATCGAGAAACATCATAAGATTTATTGTAAAATCTAACTGATTAAAATAAGTATTCTCGATATCATAACTCTTCTTTGGAATCTTGCTAAATGAGTGCATCTCACTAGATAGAACTATGGCTTTGATGTACTCATAATTGTAATGCTTAGCAGGATCACCTTTGTTCAAACCAAGAGGATCATTTTCTCTAAGTCGGAGTATACTTTAGATCTGCCTTTGTCTCTCCATTTCTTGATCCACAACTAGTTTCTTTTCTTCAACTGATGGTTCATGTAAGATACCTTTCCCTTTACTTTGTAACTGTTCTGTGCTAGGAGGAGGTTTTGAACTTGATCCTCCAGTAGCAACACTACCAATAACGATTCCTTTTGCAATAAGCCTTGTTGTAGAAGTCGAGATTGTTGAACCAGTTACCAATGAAGTAGGAAGATGAGTTGAAGAAACTTTTCCTACGACCCTCACATCTTCATCATTTTTGTTAGAAGAGCTACCACCAATTCCGAACATAGATCCCCTGCCAACCCATATCTTCTCTCCCCTTGCACCTGTGTGGAAACAGGTGGGGCATCCGTTAGCATGATAGTCAGCAACTTCGATAGAGGGGATAAGTCCTTGTGAATGGTTGATTCAAGTAAAAAAACTTCTTGGAAAGAAGCTCAGAGTTAGTAAAGAATATGAAACCATACTTGTTTTAAGCACCAGACCCTTCAACTCAATCAACAACTGATTAATATTCAAAAAAAACTTTGAACATCATCAACAACCATCTTCTCGAACTTTGGACTAAGGTCTTCATATAACTTGAAAAACTTGGTAACAACATCTTCAATGATATCAACCTTCTGATGAAGGGATGACTAATCGTGTTGTAAAATAGCAATATCTTTTCCTATAGATATCTTCCCTTAGTTCTTGAGTTTAAAATTGACATCTTCACGAATTTTCTTCACATCTTGAATAAATAAGATATGTCTCTCCTTTGTAACAGCCTTTAAATCTTGTTGATTAGAATTAAAAGTAGAAGACTATGCCTTCACCCTGTTCTTATTATCGCGATAAACATCAGAAATATCTCCACACTGAATGTTGACCCCCTCCATCAGCTTGTATTTACAAAATCAAATTAAGCTTTCTGTTGAGGATTTTAAATTGTTTGTCGGTAAGTAACATATTATCCGGAATGTTTTCCTCCTTTGGAACAAACTCAATATTAGAAAGAGTACCATCAAACTCATTATCATCATCATTCGTATCTTCCTCTTCTTCGCGGGTAATAGGTGGATCAGTGGACTGGGATGAAAACAAAGATGTGATGGGTTTATTGAGAATATTAGCAAATGTTTGTGAATGGGTAACAGTGGGAGTAGTGGAAACAGTTGAAGTGTTGAAAGATGGTGAAATGATAAGAATAGAATTACCTTGATCTTTTGGATTTTCGTTAGACACCACGGGTGGCATGACAACAGTTTGTTCAGGAGTTAAAACCTTCGTTGATTCTCCCAGATTGGTGGTTGTGTCCACAATAGATGTTTCCACATTGCCACCAGAATTTCTAGTCTCCTCGAGATTTGATTTAACTTGAGAATTCTTTTGAGGTGATAAAATATTTGTCTCATGGAGTGGTGATTTTGATACTACTATATCTTCCTGAGAATCTTCGATAATAAATTTTTGCCTCTTCTTGGAAATCTTCTTGGACATATTTACAGCAAACTGTTTCTTCGAAGTAGGTGAAACCGGTAATGGAACTTCCCGAATAAGAACACCTTGTCGAGTGACTTGATGTTTCTTTGTAAATTTGGAAGAAAATGTATGTGTGTTCTGGTGAATGAGATGATCGATGTGCCATCTTTTTTCAATTTCTTCAATATCCAAACTTCGAAGGTAAGACCTTAATTGTTGGTTGAGAGACTTCAGTGATAATAGGCTTCGAAACAGGTTTCTTGACAACAATTGGAGGTGTCTTAGTGTGATCTTGCTTTTTCCATTTAACAAACTTTGCAGCTTTTGTAGGTGAAGGTTTCGAAGGACTCTCAACATTGCTCTTCTTTGATCCCTTCTACATCTTCGAAGGGCCTACATTATGAGATAACAACACTCCAGTTTCGACATCTGTATTAACAATCCTCAAGTATTGGACCAACACAGGATGAGCATGATCGATTTTTTTAAGCATCACATCGTGAATGTGAGAAACTGTGGGAAAAATATCAAGATTATCTTCAACTGTTTTAGGGGAATGAAACAGTGAAAATCCAGCAAGTTCTTCATTCTCAGAAACTTTGATCCCTTCCTTCTCATACGCAAACTTGAGGATAATGCTCCAGTAATGAGCACACGAAATTCCATCTATGGCATTCGTGTTCCCAACACTTTTGACAAACTCATTCCACAATTAAGTTTCATAGTGCACCTGTAAGTTGTAGTACAACCCTGGTACCATCGTATAAACCTCCAATCGACCCTTGTCTAACCCCATTGTTCTTCTAGTTAGACAACGAAGGTATATACCAAAGATAAAATTCCATAAACATGGCAAACTGAACTTCTTAAACTCGCTAATTTTTGTGAGAGGAGGCTGATAACCCATCTCATTAAATATGTAAATAATTTGCGTATCGGAAACCTTCGGAATAGAGGTTGGGCTCTTTCACTTTTGGGTTTAAAAGCGATGCCATATGCCAAACTTTCAAAATCATTAGCCTGAGTTGGAATTACTCAAAACCTCAAGGATTTCATGAGTACAATGTGTACCAAGGAAAAATATAAGAAGCAAAGTAAGAAAATTTTAGTTCTGTGATGTCAAAAAAAATTTAACACATAGGCAATTAGATCCTAGGCAAAGATCACTTCATTTAACATCAAGAGAGAAGTTAAACGGCTTATGTATTTTCCAATGAATTACAATCGACTACTTATAGAGAAGTATCGAAGGGACTCTTTTATCAGGCTTCAAAGGTGGTTGAAAATTTCTTTACAAAGCACTAAACATAAGACAGACAAGTTGTAAACAAAATTAACTATTTGACCAATGTAGTCAGTGACAAGTAGGATTTGAAAATTTTATTAAATAACTAAGGTTGAGAATGATACTTAGACGGAAATCATATTCTTGAAACCAAAATTATTCCAAAATCTTGTTGGGTAACAAATGCCATGTGTTTTGAACATTTTTATCAAGAATACTACAAAAGAAAGAATATGATTTTTTGTATCGAAAACAGGTACTGAAACAAGATTTTTGTTAAAATCTAGAACTAAGTTCCGCGTCAATTCCTTATTGTTTCGAAAGTTTGGATTTCACTTCCATCACGGTCTCATGATGTTGGATCATAAACACAGAGTTTTGATATGTCTAGATTCTGGTTGGTTTATACCAGAAATCTCATGGACATATACCATTGTGTGTGATCGTGAAAGAACTTTAGGATGAAAAAGATTGCTTTAGAGAATCGAAAGTACCACTGCTATTTATAGACTAAGAAGAAAATTCTAAATTCATTTGAGTAGAGTATGGCAGCTCATTGACTAATGGGAATATAGCCTAATTGGGAAGAATTCTCAGAATGATAAATTCATTAAGGCTTCGAAACCCATCGATTCATGGAGACTTAGGTCGACATGTTGCAGCATGCTTGTAGGGACATCTTAACTGATCCATAGTTTCGAAGATATACCTTCCCTTAGAGCAGCAATGTGCATCAGGTATCCAAAATCTTCACTAAAGACTACACATAAAAAAATGAAAATAACACGAAAGAAACTCTTTTTGGTATTTTTGTATTTGAAAAAAAAATACAAAAGAAAAAAATCTTTTTGATATTTTTGTTTCTACCAAAAAAAATATCAGAAAATAAGATAACGAAGATTTTATCAAATCGTGATATTCAACGTCGAAAGCGAAGTATGTCGAAGCTTTGACTATGAACAGTAATCGTCAACTTCGAAAGTTGTCCGCCATTGTCGCTTTTTTCAATCTTTCAAAATTATTATGGGAACTGAATTTCCTTCTATCATTCCTAGACCCACCAAAACTCTCACAAATGACTTTTCATCTAATGGCTTTGTAAAAATATTAGCAAGCTGATCAGTTGTTTTTACAAAGTGAACTTCGATATTTCCATCTTCAATGTGATCTTTTATAATGTGATAGCAAATAGCGACGTGCTTTGTTTTTGAATGTTGCACACTACAAGAAAAAGACCCTTTTACGACGCGCAAACCACGACACTCACTGATTTATGTTACGCAAAAGAGAGTGACATTAAAGAAGTGTCATCTATTCAAAAAATTTAAGGATTTAGGTCACGCATTCTTGCGTGCCCTTAAACTAGTGTCAAAAGAAAAAACACGGAGGGCGCTGTATGTTAAATGCGTGTCCTCTATAAGTGTCACTTTATAATTTTAATGAAAGGTGCGTTTAGTAGAAACGGGGGAAAACAAAATCCCCAAAATTTTGAAATCCCTCTTTTCTACCTTCTTTATATCTTTCATCTTCCCAATAGATTCTCCCCTCTCCCTCCTTCTCCCTCTTCTCCCCTCTCCACCACGCCATGATGAATGAGATCTCTTTGTCAATCAGAGCTACCAGCCGATAAAGACCTTCATTTTCTCACTCCCTTCTCTCTACAAAACCTCGCCTTGTGTTGTCCTCTTCCTTGTTCACCTCACAAAATTAGGTCATGTCCTCTCACTCACAAAGCCGACGATTGATGATTTTGCGACTCCTCAATTGCATCCTTCTCTCCTCGCCTTTTCCGTCTGCAACCCTAACTCGCTGTCTCCTTCCATTTCCGACATTCTACTTCTCCCCTGTACATTCTCAAAAGTAACAATAAAGGTATTTGATTTAGAGTTTTGCTTTTGTTTCTTCAGCGGTTAAATGAAGCTAGAATTATTGATGTATTCGTTCAATCTTCTTTTGACTTCTTTCGCTTATTTCGGATTAAGGCACTACATTTCTTAAAAATTATTCATATGATAAATAGTTGAAGAAATATGATAACTTAGGGCATTTTTTGGTTAATCTTGATGAAGATTATACCAAATATTTGGTGGGTTAATTTATGAAGAAATTATTACGATTAATTTATGTTTTTTTTGTGATGTAGAATTTGTCACCCGGAGGTTAGATGAATACAATTTAACGTAAAGAAAGCACAATTACTCCATATACATCTTCTCCCAGAGAATTAGACTCTTCGTTGTTGGACTTGGATATGTGGAAACCATCAGCCCCACCTTTTAGAGACTTCGCATGGAGATCAAATTGAGGAGGCAAAAACGTACGTCTTTTAACTTTCTCCATATCCCTCATATTAATGTTTATGTTTTATGTTGCTTTGTTTTTAAAAATTAGTATATGTTGGCTTCAGATATGCTATATTGATGTTTTATAATGACTAAATTTCTCAATTTTTAGGTTAATCTTTTATGAGTTTTATGTTTCACTTGATTCCAAACGCAAATTCACATGTTTGTGTCAGGTTTGTTAAAAATTGCTTTTTTGGTGAGCCTATATCTGACTTTCTTGATACGCATTGTGTGTCATAACCGCGTGTCTTAAATGCGCATCGTAAATGCGCATCGTCTATAGATGACGCGCAAAAGCGTGTCGTCTCTCTTTATGATAGGGCCTTCCTTGACGCGCATTTGCGCGTCGTCTGAGCGTTTTACGATGCGCAATGAGCATGGTAAAAGGCTGTTTTTCTAGTAGTGACAGGATTATGACAAATGCGTATGGCACTTTATGAATCACAATACAACGAAATCTTCTTCATGTTGGTTGCATAATCACGCAGTTGGCGTTAAATCCATATGATTTGTGAAGTGCAAGCTACAGTAGCAACATACTGTGCTTCTGCTATGGAAATCGAGACACATGTATGTTTCTTCAATTTCTAGCATACAAGCTTCCCATACAGTAATTAACACCTGCCACTTGTGCTTTTGTGATCAAGATTACAACCTCCCAAGTATGCATCTGAAAATGCTTGAATAAAGAATCCTGTTTTTGAAGGTTACCACAATCCTAACGAAATTGTTCCTTTGAGATAAAGAAAAATATTTTTGACTACAGTTAGATGCGGTTCTCTGGGGGTTTAATTGGTACCTGGCACAATTGCACACATAAAACATGATATCAGGTCGACTTGCCATAAGATAAAGTAACGCACCTATGATGCTTCGATGCAAAGTGATATCCACACCTGCTTTATCTAACAAATGACTTAATTTCATTCCAACTGCCATCAGTACTCTAAGCTTTGTGTTATTCGTCATTCTAAACTTCTCCAGCATATTTCGAATATACTTCTCTTGATTAATGAACATTCCTTCTCTGCTTTGATGAATATTTAACATAAAAAATTGTTGATTTTACCCATCATGCTCATTTCGAATTGACTTTTCATCAAATTTTCGAAATCTCTTGACAAAGCAGGGTCAGTAGAGCCAAAAATAATATCATGAAGATAAATTTGAACAAGCATTAGATGATTCCCTACTTTCTTTCGAAAAAGTGTGGGATCAACTGATCCTTGTTTAAATTTTGATTGTTTTAAGAAATTAGTAAGAGTAGCATACCAGGCTCATGGTGCTTGTTTTAACCCAGAAACAGCTTTATCTAAGATATAACAATGATCAACATATTCTTCGTTAATAAAACCTGGGGGTTGTTCAACATATACAGTCTCTTCGAGTTCACCATTTAGAAATGCACACTTTACATCCATCTGGTAGACATCAAAATCCTTGTGCGCTGCATAGGCTAAAAATATTCGAACAGCCTCGAGTCTTGCTACAGGAGCGAAGGTTTCCTCATAGGCTATACCTTCTTGTTGCAAATAACCTTTAACTACAAGCCTAGCTTTATTTCATACAATATTACCATCTTTATCAGTTTTGTTTTTAAAGATCCATTTTAATCCCACAATGGAAACATCATTTGGTTTGCAAATTAATCTCCATACCTTGTTTCTTTTAAATTCAGCAAGTTCAGATTGCAATAAAAACAACCCAATCAGGATGTTCCATAGCAT